AAAAACACTTGAGCAGTCCGTGCTCGCACGTGGATTCTCAAATATACTACCAATATTCTCTAAAGAATAATGTGCTCTATCCGTTTGCTGATTTCAGCCAGAGCTTATTAGTCAGCCAATAATATTTTTCTCTCACAACAAACCAGCATCAACCAGACTTATCAGCCAAAAACCAATCAGCGAAAAGGCCAACCATGAGCACGCAGAGTTTGGTGAAAGAAAGCATATAATGCTAATCGGAAGTTCGGAACTGACCTGCCATGTCAAATGCAGAGAGGAATTGGCTGGAGAGGTGCTGGAGGGATTATGGCGTTCGGCACCGCCCAAGCTTGTGAAGCGTGAGCCGTTTGTGATGTGAACCTACTTGAGATTCTCCTCGTGCCGCATGAGCTGCTGCTGCTGCCGTTCTTGTACCGTACGAAAATTCCTTCACCCACGAGCTCAACAGCCAAGAAATCAAGAATAATGCGCGAATAATTGGCACGAGGAGAACCGACGGTAAGCTGCAACATTTCCCCCTGGGATCATGCCAGGCTTCGTACGGTCCACAGTATTGGGTCCTCGCGCTCCTCGGGCTGCTGCCACAGGAGGCCTGGAGGCTCTGGAGGCCCTGTTCGTTTTGCTGAAAAATATTATTCACTGATTTGGTTGAAAGAAAAACATCGTATCATGACTAATAAGCTAGGCTGAAAAGTATTATTCGCTGATTTAGTGTGAGAGTCACTTGAAGGTTGAAGCCATGGTTAGGGCCTGTTTAGTTCCAAACTCTTAAAATTTTAGCTCCTAAAAGTTTTAGACAGCCTTCTAAAAGCTCATAAAAAACCGTTTGGTTCCACCTCCTAAAACTGACTTAAGGCAATAAATGTTGTGACAAAAGGACCATGATGCCCTCCCTTGCCCCTGCTCCTTCTCTGCATGCCCCTACTCCATCTTCTCTGCATGGCGCGACTTCTCCCATGCGCAAGCTGGCGCCACACCGTGCGCCTAGGTACTTCCAGGCGCTGAATTTTTTTTTTGTTGCTGGCGCCAACACAATGAGCTACCTCCAGGCGCCAAATATATTTGTTTGCCACATGTTTATTCCATTCAATAAAAAAAAGTCAATACAAATGTTCGTACACTCATACAATCGGAAAGAAGTGTCCATAAATCATCCATACAACAATTCAACACATCAATAAAATCACCATTACAAGTTGACATCTATGATCTACTAAACAAACCATCGGCTATCCAATCACGGAACTCGTTCATATTTCGATCTTCATCTCCATGACATACATTTGACACATTACCGTCAAAAGAGGATCCTTCGACAAATGGAACATAGTTCTCATCATGGTCAACCAAATCAAAGTCCGCATCTCTCAAAAAACTATCCCTAATAAAATTGTGTAGTGCCATGCACGCAATAATTATATGGCTTTGCTTTTGCATTGGATAGCTAGGAAGGTCAAGCAATATCCTCCACTTCATCTTTAGAACTCCAAACGACCGTTCAATGACATTACGGAGTGAAGAATGTGAGTAATTAAACGGTTCTTTTTTACCTCTTGGCATTGTTACTTGTCTAAACTCCGGCAGGTGGTACTTGATTCCTTTGTACGGTGCAAGATATCCCAGTCGGTTTAGGTAACCCGAGTCAACAAGGTAGAACTTGCCTGCACATTCATAAAACATGGATTATCTAAGTCATAGACCTCATGGCATTCTTCTCCAACTCCTTTTGTTTCTGCATCTGTTTCTCCATCTTCCTCAAATGGTGCCTTTTTTCTAACTCCATCTGCCTAAATTGGTGCCACTTTTCCAACTCGTCTTCCCTTTGCTTTACCATTTCAGCTAGTGCTGCTTCTTCCTTACTCCTAGATACTTGCAACTCAACAAGCAGCCCCTGGAACACCTTGACCATTGGGCTCTTACTCTTCTTGCTTGCTCTTGTGGCTGTGCTTGCAGTGCTATTTGTTCTCTTGCGACTGCTACTGCTCAAAGGACTTGCTAGGAACTCCTCTTCCTCTTGTTCCTCACCCTCCTAATCACCCAAGTCTCCCTCCTCGTCTCCCTTGTCTTGAGTTGATGATCCTGGTCACCCAAGCCGGCTGCAAAACGAACGGCCTGAAGTCGTCTTCGTCCACATCTTCCGGGGATATGCGGAAGCTACCTGCACCGGAGGAAGATCCTTGAAATAGGAAGTCCTTGTAATTGTACTTGTCCATGGGTGGGGTGATGTGCTTGGGCGAGCGCGCGGCTGGGTTGGGGGAGGGCACGACTGGCGGTGGGGGATGGCACAGGGAAGGAAGAAACTGCTAACAATCCACCTGCGCACAAAAATAGATCAGCAAGGGGAACCTCAGAACACTACATCGAGAAGGAGAGGGAAGAAACTTACCCGGCAGGCCCGAGAGTTCGTCGCGGACCCGGGATGGCGTGAGGGAGCAGCCGTCCTCCCCCGGTGGTGGCGGCGTTGCGGGATGAGGAGGTCTCGGCGGGTGGCGGCGGCGGCGGCGGGGAAGGGCACGGGCGGCATTGCAGGATGCGGATGCGGCGGGGAAGGGCACGGGCGGAGGATCCGGTGGGGGAGCGCTCGGCCGGCGGTTATTGGCCGCGGAAGCCGGCGTCAATGGCGGATCGAGCGGCGGACCGGAGGGGGAGGGCGCGGACGGCGTTGTTTGGCCTCGGACGTCGGCGAGGTGGGTGGATCTAGCGGCGGCGGGGATGGGGGCGGCGAGGTTGTTGGTGGACGCGAACGGGGGCGATGCGTGCGGTCAGGACGGGGGTAGTGGTGGTCCAGGATGGGCTTTAGAAGGTTTTAGGAGGGGGTGAAGCTCCTAAAGAAATTGAAGCCTCCTAAAACTTTTTAGGAGCTTTTAGTCAATGTGTTTGGTTCTTTAGACACTTTTTAGTCACTTTTTAGCTCCTAAAGATTTTAGGAGGTGGAACCAAATAGGGCCTTAGACTACTAGAGCTTCGACCAGTCAAAAAACTATGCGTTGAAAAAGCAACAGGTAGAAGAAAGTGTAAAGGGACCAAAGTAGGATGACAAACAACCTGTTCATTTCGTCGTAAACGATCGTAGATTATTTACTGCTGGCTAGTTTGGTTGGTATGGTGTGAGAGAAAAATACTGTTCTAGCTTATAATCCACGATCGTTTACGATCGTATAAGACGACGAGATGGAGACTGTACCTGTTCCACTGGGAACGGTAACTTCGGTACTGCAGTGCAGAAGTATCCTTCTACTGGGGGTCCACGTCTTTTGTTTCGCACACGATTACAGCGCGCGTCACCAACGACCATCATTGCTGATCTGGGAGAACGACGAACGACGATGGCAAGTGAAAGCAAGCACACATAGCCCATGCTGATGCTCGGCGTCGGCGCAGGCCAGCCAAAGCCAATGCACAGACGACACCGCCTCCTTGTCCACCGCTGCCGCTGGTTAGCACCGTGACCTGTTGGGTAGTCGTGTCACGTGCACAAAGGTATCATCAGTATCAGCAGGCATAACACCAACTATTCAAAACATTTTGAAACCCTGATGGATCCAGACATAGGAACGGACAATTGAACATGATTAACCAGGTTTCGACCCCAACCATTTTCCTACAAATATACCAAGAGCAGAGGTCGTGCCAAAAGGGAAATGGGGGTGACAAAAGCTTCTCCTGGCCTTTCTTGCAGTGTGTTTTGTTTGTGGTAACCTAGCCTGTGACAGCCCTGCGCTGCACCCTTCAAATTTTTTCGGAATTTTTAGGCACTCTGTGATCCTAAATCCTAATTATCAAATATTCCACCTTTGGAGCTATGTTTCTTTTTTCCATATACGTCTGCTCAGATGGGAATGCAGAGTTGCTATGCTATGATTAAAGAGATGCAGGGGTTATACTGACTTAGCTTCACTTGAACTCCAAGGCTCCAGGGTGAGCTGGACCACCACACATCAAGATTGTAAGGCTGAATGTTTCACATCATCTCATCAAAGACGCCACCAGAAACATTATCATATTGCCACATCTGCGCAGCCTGCGATGAGTATGTGAACCTGGGAACAACAAAATAAGAGTCATGGATATCTAGCAGTGAGGCCAGAACAAGTTGTGGTGCAAATCAGAGAATTACATGCGTGCTTTTCCATTTTGGAGTTCATGAGCTGGGAAGTAGTGAAGTAGAAAGATCTAAGCATGTGAACTCTGATCCACACACACACAAGGGCACTAAAAGACAGATCTTGTTGTGCTAGCTCCATGCAGTTCTGATTCTAATGCCAGAATAGGGTGGGGTCTAAGGGACAAGCAAAGTAGTCTGTGCATTTGATTTGATAGAGAGAACAATATGCTCAGAAAAGCATGATAGACTGTAGAAATATGCATTGTATTCTACATCGTTACATAAAAGCTATGGTGTTCCCATACTGTAGAGATTGAAAACAGCAGGATAACGTCGCAAATTAGAAACTTCATTCACTGCATCTGTCACTAGAGCAACTTCTGTTGATGCAGTGAATAGCCTTCTGCTTGTAGCTTATTTGGTGCTCCATCCAGGACTGGGATTCAGCTGATGCCTGCAGATCCTGAAAATCCAAATTAGATTGCTACTGCTTCCAAAGTTTTTACATTCACAGAATCTCCTGTTGTTTCGGAATCTATCACCTTGTAAAGATAAGAAGGTCATGGAATGTTGCTCTCATTGGTTTGAATTCTTATGCGTATTGGGCCTACGTTAGTTAATCAATGAAATCAATTCGACCGGCCACACAGTTGAGAGTGAAATGATGTGGTCCAAATAGCTCTACAAGTCAGGTGTGCTCTCAAGCATGATAATCACATCTCAACTATTAGATCTTTTGAACACCATCAATATAACTTGTCTTCGTCTAGCACTGGTTGAGGACAAGCTATTTTCTACAATTCAGATCAATCAATCCATCAACACCCACATTGTTTTTATGGCTCGCTTGCTTGATGTATATGCAGCAACAAAGCACGCAGACCATTGAAACCCCTCAATTCCAACTACACCCAGGAACCTTCTCGAGCCCAACTCCCCACATCATGCTCCTTATGATCTCAGCTTCTTCCCATTTGCCAGCATTTGAGTACAAATTAGCCATCACAATGTAATTACCGGTGTTCTTAGGCTCAATTATAAATAGTCGATCGAATACAAATCTACCAAGCTCAACATCACCGAATTCTGCTGCTCCATTAAGCAATGGACCCCAGACCTTTGCATTTGGTTCAAATGGCATGCTGTTGACAAGCTCAAGTGCATCCTTTAGCATCCCTGAACGGCTGAATGCAGAAACCATGCAAGCATATTGCTCCATCACCGGATTGATACCAAACACAACCTGCATGGAGTTAAAAACTTTACGAGCATCAGCTACCTTGCCAGTATAAGCACAAGCTGTAAGCACAGCAGTGAAGACTATGGTATCCGGTCTGATGCCAGCATTGATCATCTCATTGAACAGGCACAGTGCCTCTGCAGCTTCTCCATGAGCCGCAACAGCGGATATGATTGATGTCCATACAATTTTGCTTCTATCACTAGTCAATTTAAAGACCTTTCGAGACCCATCAAGAAATCCAGCCTTTGAGTAAGCATCCATCAATGCAATCACGACACTGATACTCTGATCATGGTTGTTTCTGATTCGCATAGCCATGTGCTTGCTTCACTCCCAGTAGGGTGGCGAACAAATCAACTGAAGGAATGATGATTGAAAGTGTGGCTGAATTGGGTAGAATTCCAGAACCAATCATCTTATTCAGTAGTCCAAGCACTTCAGACTGGCGACCATTTTGAACCAATCCAGCAATCACTGCATTCCAAATGCTGATACCTTGAGCATCTGCTCGCTGGAATAGCTCCATTCCCTTGTCGACATGCCCATGGTTCATGTAACCAGTAATCATGGCACTGTAACTGACCGCATCTTTCTTAGGCATCCCTTCAAACAACTCTCTTGCATACTCCAACCTTCCACATTTGGCATAAAACCCAACTGTTGAGTTCCACACTGCGATGTCCAAATCAAGCCCATTCTCGGCAGCAAGACAGTGCACTCTTACCCCCAAAATCGACAGCCTTGAGCTGTGCACAAGCATGCAATACACTAGCCACCGTGATGCTGTTGGGTCTAACACCACCAGCATCATGAACGCTCGCTAACTCCTGAAACAGCTGCAGGCACTCCCGGTACCACCCTGCACGAGCGTAAGCCGATATCAACGAGTTCCAGGACACCACGTCTCGCCGCGGCATTTCGTCAAATATCACGCGAGCAGACCGCGAATCTCCGGCGTTCGCGTACGCGGTGATGAGACCATTGGACACGAACAGGTCGTCCCCAAAGCCGCGCTGGACCGCGACGGCGTGGAGCTCCGCAGCGACGAGTGCAGACAGCCTCGGTCCGGACTCGGCGAGCGACTTGAGGAGCGCAGAGAGCGTGATCTCGTCGGGAGAGATGCCGGATGTGGCGAAGAGGCGCACCGCGGCGGAGGGATCGGGCGAGTGGAGCGAGAGTGCAATGAGGATGGCGTTCCAGGCGAAGACGCTGGGCTGCGGGATGGCGTCGAACACCCTGCGTGCGTCGTCAAGGCGGGCTGCGCGGGAGTAGAGAGAGATGAGCTTGGAGGCGAGGAAGTTGGACGGCGTAACTGAGAGAGCGACGAGGCGGGCGTGGAGCTGGCGGCCGGCGGCGAGGTGACCGGAGTCCGCGCAGAGCTGGACGAGGTGGCCGTACGCCCGAGGGTCCGGCGGCACGGCGGTGAGCCACGACGGGAGCTTCATTAGCTCTTCCTGAACGGCTACTCGATTAAAGGCAGGGTAGTCCTTTCATAAAACAAATTACATATAAATTAAAGAAACTGATTTTTTATAAGATTTCCATAAGAAACAGTTCACTTTCTAATGAATAAAAAATGTCACATTTTAATCAGTCTTTGACAGCCGTGGTCCCCACATTTTAATCTAAATACAGTTATTTAGATTGCGGGCTGTTAAGGTTCAGTCACCAGTAAACAAAACAGATTCAAAAGAGCTAGTGATTGACCGCCAGATTTAGATTGCGGGCTGTTAAGGTTTCAGTCAAATAATTGTATCAATTGCCAGTAAACAAAACAGATTCGAAAGAGCTAGTGGTTGACCGCCAGATTTAGATTGCGGGTTGTCAAGGTTTCAGTCAAATAACTCTATCAATTGCAACTAAACAAAACAGATTCAAAAGAGCTAGTGATTGACCGCCAGATTTAGATTGCGGGCTGTTAAGGTTTCAGTCAAATAACTGTATCAATTGCCAGTAAACAAAACACATTCAAAAGAGCTAGTGTTAAGGTTTCAGTCAAATAACTGTATCAATTGCCAGTCAACAAAACAGATTCAAAAGAGCTAGTGAGCTACTAGTACACATTAGAGACAGGATACTGTCACCCCTGAAAAGAATAATTGTATGCTCCTGGCATATGATATTATGTGTAGATTACAATGGTAGAACTCCACACGCACAAACCTCCGGGTTTTGTGTTTGTATAAGGTTACAATCTTCTGCATTGCACTTGCAGACTTATATCCCATTACGCACGCAGGGTCACATCATATCTTGTTTCTAAGAATCTAATAGGATCCTGGCATGCTTCAGCAAATTTGGCGGCAAATCCACCAAAAATAGATGACGCACAAGTTACTGAGGAATGAGGATCACAACCAGCTAGGGCCCAGGCCACCAATCAACTAAATAGCCTTCCAAAAATTGTACGATCATGAATGGAACCTCGCCTTGCTTCTGTTTCTTCTAGTACACTACATATATGCTAATACTATTTTAGAAGTATCCGCCATATCTTTCTCATGTACACCACTAGGGACCATATGGCGAGTCCAGCGGAAACGTAAAGTAGAGCAACACCGGGGGCAACTAGAGCACCTTGCACAGGTAGACTGCAAAATAGAGTGCATAACACGAACCATGTCATGTATCAATTGGAAAAAGGAAACAATAGCAAAACTACAATAACATGGACAAATGAAATTTCATGTACCTTGGGTCTCTGCTGGCGAGAAGCAGAGTCAATGCTGTCATCTGTGTCGCTGTCTTCCACTTCCCTAAGTTGTTAACTGCAACAGCCTGTTGTGGCAAGTTGAAATTTCTTTAGTTGTTGAACTTCTATCGATACAATGGAACAGAAGAGTAATAGAGGATAGAGGAACCTCAAGAACTTTGCTATTCTGAGATGCAGCCCACTCTCTCACGGCTGACATTGTAATCTACATAAAAACAGACAAGAAAAAAGTGATGTCAGATTTTTTTACCCGTGGCAAGCTCGCTCCCATACCACATACATAGCAGCAGCAAATAACTCATAACACAAAGCAGCAGCAACAACAACAACAAAGCCTTTAAGCCTTTAACTCATAACACAAAGCAGCAGAATCAACTTTTATTCATTTAAAAGGAAAATGGACACATACGTCTATGAACAAAGAACATCTCTAGCAGGTTGAGAAAATGTGACCCCTTTCTCCCATAACCAGTGATAAAAGGGAACTGGGGGTCCAGTAATTTCCTTTACAATCCCTTTCCCAAATTTTGTTCTCAACTAAGAAAAACTTTCCTCCCTCAAGCAAAGGGGATCAGCTCTCCATCCCCTTTCCTTCCCTCACTCAACCCACCAGGTGCTCAACGGCTGTTCACATTCATCACGGACATGCCCCTGCGCCACTGAACCACCACGCCACCAGGACCGCACGTGCCACCACACTAGGTTATGCGATGTGACACCATGAAAGAAGAGAGAGTAGTGTGGGCGAGCAGGCCGCATTGTCAGGTGCCACACTGCCGCGGTGCCGGGTGCCAGGTGTCTCTCGGTAGGGGATCAGGTGACCGTGAGAGAGAAGAGAGGGAGAGGAAAAGGAGAATGGTGAGGAAGGAAAAAATAAATTGACCCACTGGCATGTGGGTCCTACATGTACAGATGTCATGTGAGGTAAAGAGATGGTGTTAAAAGGGATTTGCTGCAATACCCATCCCTCGTATCCCATGTATGTTAAAAGGGATTCCCACTATAGAAGATTTTAAGGAAAAATGGATAGGGGATTGCTAGAGATGATCTAAAGCCACTCACGATAGCACATTCATAGGAAGGTTATCGGACAAAGCTCATGATCTCCCTAGCTTAACTTTTATGGCAACATAGGGCTTGTTTGGTAGAGCTCCACCCTGATTCTCTGGAGTTATTCTGGTGGGGAGCAGGTGGAAAGTAATTCTAGAGTGATTTTGGTGGGGATTGAATGGGGAGCATTTTTTTTAGCTCCCAATGTAAATGGAGAAGCAATTCTTGTCATATTCCCACAAGAATCTAGTTGTGTTTTACCCGTTGGGTGTCTAGGTGTCGAGGAGTGATTCCAACAGAGAATCTAGAGCTGGGAACACTGTTTCAGACAAACCACAATACCGCATGGTGAAATGACTCCATCTTGCTTACCAGCTCCACTAAAGGTGGTGGAGATTCCAAAACACCTTTCCGTGAAGTTATTAGCATGTATGATTGTATGGATAAATGCATGCACCCAATACTACAAGCACCAAGTTAATGACCGGGATGGTAACTGTAATGTTGAGGGATAAACATAGAGATAATGTCAGCTAAGCAGACAGTTATTCATAAACATATATATCAACATAAGTCACAACAGCATTCTGAAATTTCCAGATCTATGATTCCCCACCAAGACAAAAATTACAATTAACAAATGATTTCACTAAATGCTTCGGAAGTGGCAATGCAGATTGGCAGAGTAACTACCTCTCTCCCAATGATAGCAATGGAAGGGACTGTTAGAAGCCATGGCCCATCATTGAGCAGTGATGTTTCCAAAGGTTTGGTGCATAACAAAACTAATGTTGCGGCTACCATAAGCTGCAGAAAAGAATTAGAGCAATTAATTGGATCCTGTGAGTAGCTCATCTTTTGAGAACTGATAGTCTTGAGTCGTAAACATGCCAGAAAATTGTGGGCAGCAGAGACAGAAAGAAACCTTGTCAGCCACAGGATCAAGAAATGCACCAAAAGGTGTTCCTAGCTGCATCTGTATATAAACCAGATCATCAGGAAACGTAAATGAGTATAAAAACACTGGAACAGCAACCCAGTCTAGCATATAATTCAGATAATATTTTCAACATGCCTTTCTAGCAATATAACCATCTAGCCAATCAGTAACTGCAGCAGCAAGGAAGATGCCTGTTGTGGCCGTAGCTGCCCATGGACCCTCCATGTAGAAAGCTGTTGGTGGTAGAAATGATAACAAAAGGTAAAAAAAATAAGAGAAACAAACCAATTAAACGATACGTCTGCAGTCAAATAAACACTATTAGGTTGAACATAAGCATCAAACCAAACAACTTGTAAACACGTATAAATAGCAGCGCCCAACAGAAACCAACAGAAGTATATTGTGTTAGAAGCAATAGTGCATGGTGCTTAATCCTGCTACACAGAAGCAGAAGAAAAGACAGTTGCTCAAGGAGGTTCGTGATCAAGTCCAACTGCATGAAAATTAAGTTGTTGGACCCTTTATGGAAAACAAACAATTCACACTCCGGTAAGCAAACAAGTAATGTTTCTTTACCTTATATGGATGCTAAGGATCATGCCCAACCAAATCGATGCACCGACTCCGCGCATCAAAGAAGATGCATGTGCAAAGTCATTTCAATAAAGCTTTGGGCAGTTGGAATACAAAAGCAAACTATCGTGAAGTAATGTTTCTTTACTATATATGGATGATAAGTATCGTGTCAATCCATTTAATAGCTGCACCAACTCCGCACATCAACAAGAGCTAAAAAAAGATGCATGTGCAAAGTCAATTCAATAAAGCTTTGGGCTGTTAGGATAAACGAAAGGGTAATTGTTTTGGCACTTGGATTTATGGAGACTGGCAGTGGCTACACATGTTTCAACCAGCCTCATTTCACAATAAATTTTATTGATAAAATTAATGAAACCACAAATTTTGCTGTTCAAGCTGCATAAAGGATCCCTGGCGTTTACGTGCTGTAGCACATAGCCACAATTTTTCTGATCCTAAGACTACCTCATACTGAGGTTACAACTTACAAGAGACCTCAGTATAAGGCCAGACAGACTATAGTATCTGGGCAGCATCTCTTCCTCCACAACCACCTCATACAGCTTGATGTGCAGGTTGTGGAAGGTGCTGGGCAGGTACTGCAGGTTGGGGTTATTAAGGAGTGGGCCATTGTGTAATTTCAGAGACACAAAGCCTTTAGTTGTGTGCCACAGTCCAGAACCCCCAAGGTTATTTGCAACTTGGATCATAAACTATTTTCCTATGTAGTTAAGGCAGACATAAATTGTTTGTGCAAGTTACACGTATGTACTGGCAGTTCAAGATTAAAGACAGAGAATTAGGGAGGTTAAAACATTCTTATAACACCTCCAGCATCTGTCACTGTTTCTGTTTAGTGAATAAATAATTAGATGAATTTGTTCCAGCGACAAACTTGCAACGAAAGTGGCCTTTTTAGGCTTTACTTGTTATAGTTTTTCTCCTACTCAGTCGAAGACCTTATCACCACCGGCAGGCTTCCACCATTGCTACTACATATTGAACTGCCAGTACATACGTGTAACTTGCAAATATCCACCCGCCTCAAGATGTCATGATCCGACCAACAGAAGCAGCAGCACGGAGAGAAGAGTAAAAGAAAATAAACAGGATTAACTTACTGCTGATCAGGAGAGGCACGGCAGCGACGCGGCCAATGGTGAGCACGGTGGGCAGCGTGAGCAGCCTGGGCGGCGCGGTGGCGGGCTCCTCCTTGGTCATCCGTTCACCACCGGCACGTCTTTGGCGAGTCCGTTCACCGCCGGCACCCGCCTCTTCCTGGACCCGACCCCGCATCAGATCCCATCCCTCGCCGCCGGAATGCGGCGCGGCGCACAGCCCCGCGCCGCCGACGGCCACCGGAACCGGCGGGCTGCGGCGGCGAGAGCGGCCGCCGTGGTCGGCAGGCGGCGGGCGGCGGGCGGAGGAGGGAGGTGAGGAGAAGGGGCCAGGGCGGGGGCGGGGATCCGGGCCGCCGCGCGGGGGGAGAAGAAGGGCTTGGCGGCTGCGGCTTTGAGGAGGAGGGATGCGTGGGTGGCGACGGATGAGGGCATGGGGCGGATTGATTCCTCCTAGTCTCCTACTATTGTGGGTGGGCTGGGGTGGGGAGAGGAGGCGTACGCAGCAGGCGCGTAGAGGGGCGGGCGGGACGGGGAGGCCTCGTCTCGTCGTGTACGACTGTACGAGGGGGCGATAGGGAGGAGGGCCAAATCCGGGGGGTTGCGCAAGAACGGCGATTGATTGATGGGACGCCGCACCGCAGTTACGACGCCCGTAGCAGTGTAGCACTGGTGGGCTGGCCGACGGCTGGATCCCACTGAGCAGCGAGCATTTGGGTGCTGGTGCAGGTGCTCGTGGTCATTTGCCTCGTGGGGCCGCCGGGGACCTGGATCTAGGCTCTCTCCCGTCCCTTGCTGCTTCTGCAGCAGAACTGTTTAGATGTAAAAAATTTCAGAAACGAAAGACTCAGTAGTGTTTTGTTGTTATTTGGTAAATAGTATTTAATTATAGTCTAATTAGGCTTAAAAGATTCGTCTCGTGGATTTCGTCTAAACTGTATAATTAGTTTTATTTTTTATTTATATTTAATGCCTCATGCATGCATCTAAAGATTCGATGTTACAGTGAATGTGAAAAATTTTGCAAACTAAACTGGACCTTGACGTCCGGGGGAAGTATCTTGTGTTGTGTCCTGTGGGCCACGTCGTGCAATCGGAGTGACATGGGCAGAACGTCGACGGCGAGAGGTGTGGCCCGTTACATGACGACACGACAACCCTTATTTTAACCTCCACCGACTCCATAGGTGCGTGTGTTCGCGGACGGCATGACTCGGTTTGCATGATGTTTACTCTACCTGTCTGTGTGGTTGTGACGTGATTTCTGATTTGGCTTGCCAATTGGACAATTCCTTCCTGACAAAATTTTACTAGCTCGAGTCAGCACCAACGGCTTCAAGCTTATTTCCTCCGGTCCTAAGTCTCTGATGTGGCTCTACATCTATACTTTTACGTAATTAATTAGAATAATTAATAGCTGCAGTTTCTATAGTCCAATTGTGATGAAATTTTTATGGTGAGCTAATTATTCTATGATTGAACTGCAGTAAAAATTTCATACTCATTCGATCATGTATAGCTTAGTTATAGATTTATTTATATTTAATAAGCATAAACCTAAATAAAATATATAACTAAGTTATACATGATCTAATGAGTATAAAATTTTTACTACAGTTTAAGCATATAATAATTAGCCCACCATAAAAATTTTACCATAATTGAACCATAAAAACTACAGCTATGAATTATTCCATTTAATTACAGAAAAACATATATCTAAAGCCACAACAAAAACTTTATACTAAAACATACCATATTATATGTTCACTGTGTAGATCTACTCATGTGGAGTCCAACAAAATTATATTTTCTATTTTATGATTTTTCTATGATTTACTATGAGTTTTCAAATATTCAGCCAAAATAAATAAAAAAGAAAAAGACAAAACACCTTCAAAACTGTTTATAACAGGACCAGAGGAGTTAAGATGAACAGTTTTAAAAGTTAAGGGAGGTGTTTTGTTCAATTTTAAAGTTTGAGAAGAAAAACGGGCTTTCGCGAAAATAAAGAGAGCTAACGTAGATTTTTTTTTCAATCATGGAGAGAGAGAATCTACAGGCGCGCGCGTGGGTTGGCTTGGTTGGTTCACTCTTCACTGGTGCTCACGCTGGCGGCCGGCCCGCCGCGCCATCAGGCTGGCAGTGGCAGGCCTGCTACAGCGACAGCGCGAGCTCCCAGGGGCCCAGCAGTGCCCGCCAAACAAAATCCGTCAACGACCACCATGCGGGCCTGCGCGAGAGCCTCCACGAGCCATGCCTCCGTGTGGCAAAAGCGGTGCTACTCCTCCAACGAAACCAACCCCCTTGGGGCCCACCCTGGCCACCAGATCTTCTGGAACTGCAGGAGCCATATCCTCTTCGGTCCAGCCTCTGAAGCGTGCACCACAATTCACATCTTCGGTACAGGGTGTGCGTATCTGAAATTGGCCAACCAATGATGCAAGTGAGCGTGACAATGACAAGCTGAAGACACAGCTCAACAGAGTGTTTGATTACACCTTCTAAATCGACGTGACATCATATGTTTGAACACATATATAAAGTATTAAATATAGATTATTTACGAAACTAAATGTATAGATTGACACTGTTTTGCGAGACAAATTTTTTAAGCCTAATTAGTCCATGATTTGACAATGTGGTGCTACAGTAACATGTGCTAATGACGGATTAATTAGGCTTAATAAATTCGTCTCGCGGATTATTGACGGATTCTATAATTTGTTTTTTATTAATATCCGAACACTTCATGCGACACCCCCATGTGACACCTCCTAAACTTTAGTCATTGGCAAAGTTCAAGGAGGCGCTAGGCGCTCTCTAGGCGGTGACCCATAACCTAGCGCCTAGACGGGCCTAGGCGAGTCTAGACGTTTTAAGGCGTTTTTCTAGGCGGTAGCTAATACATGCATAAATACTTAAAAGAAAAAAGAAAAAATAGCATATCGGTGGTGGAGAAATAAGAGAAGGTCCAATAACGATCCAAGTCTCCTAAGTCTGGTCCAAGTCTTATCCCCTCCCCTCTCGGCCTCTATTCCCATCTCTCTCCCTCCCAGCTTCTGCTCGTGCTCGCTCGTCGCTCGCCCACGCCGCCGCCATCGCCCGACGCCCCGACGTTGACTCCTTCCCCCACCGCCGTCGTCGCTTCCCGACAAGCGTTACCTCCTTCCCCATCGCCGCTTTGGACGTCGGCCGCCATCCGCACTTCGTCCTCGCTTTGACGGATCTACCTTGCCGCCTGTTGTCACGCCGCCTCTTCCCGTGACGCCGCCACCGCCTCACCTTAGCTCCTCCCCATCGTTTCCCGACCTCCGCGCCGCCCAAGCAGTTCTCGCTTGACGGATCGCGCCTTCGGCAACAATAGTTGGGCAACCGCCTAGGTACCCGTCTACCCCCCCTAGGCGAGGCGGTACCCTGTCGCCCAGCGCGTAAGCGCGCCCAGCCGACCGCCTAGCGTCGCCTTTTTGAACATTGGTCACTAGATCTAAACACCCCAGGTTAACCAACAGATTGGTGGTAGTGTGATACTGTTGTGCTGCTGCGTATTTGGCTGCTCTTCAACAGTTCAACACAGCAGAGCTAGCTATAGCCGTAGACAAACACTGTACACGGACATTTGGGCCCTGGATCATAGAACTGACAGCTAGTTAATTATTTTTTAGTCCCTAGATATTCAATCTTCATCCACTAGTTATTAGTAATAGGACCGTTGTTAGTCCTAGTTCACCTAAACGGCCCCTTTGATCAATAATGCTCCGGTGCTTCTGCCCTCGGATCCTGCACGCTGGTCACAGAAATATCCGTTCCTCTTCCGGCTTGTTTAGTTGGGGGTTAGAAATCAATATTCGGTACCGTAGCACTTTTATTTGTATTTGATAATTATTGTCCAATTATGGTCTAACTAGGCTCAAAAGATTTGTCTCGTAATTTACAATTAAACTGTATAATTAGTTATTTTTTTATCTACATTTAATACTCTATGTATATGTCCAAAGATTTAATATGATAGAGAGAATGAAAAAACTTACAATCTAAACCTCAACCACCAGACGACCAGACGAGGTAGGTCCAAAAGCTTGGGAGTTGGGACAGAAATAGTAACAGCACGCACGGTCTGACACCCTGCCATGATTAAAGGTACCAGTGTGCCCGCTAGGATGTTCAGCTCTGTTCGTTTGTTGGTTTTAGCCAGTCTAAATCAGTCAACCAACAGTATTTTTCTTTCATAAAAAACCAACAACAGCCAGTCCAAATTAGCCCAGAAACCACCAGCAAATAGACCGGTTATTATACTAAGTTACCTGTCACACGGATACTAATTATAAAATTAATTACAGAGACCATGACTAATTTAAAAGACGAATTTATTAAGACTAATTAATTTGTTATTAACATATGTTATTGTAGCATTACATTGTCAAATCATAGCCTAATTAGTTTAATAGATTCGTCTAATAAATTAGTCTAAAATTATGCAATTAATTTTATAATTAATCTATATTTAATACTCTCAATTAGTGTCAAACATCCCATATGACGAGGACTATGAGCGGGAAACCAAACACTAGCTGAATTGCCCGATCTCTAATGCCCAATTTGTGTATACTCCTATTAGGTAGCGTGCCCGTGCGTTGCTACAGGATAGCTAATAATTTGTACTAAAAACACACGGATCGCACGATAAGATAACAATATTGTAAAAATTAAATATCAACATTAAAGTGACAGTTAATCCAAAAGCAAAGTATGTGAAATTAACAGTCACGGAGAGCGCGGCGTCATAGGCTTACAAACTCTATTTTATAGACATTTCCGTGATGCGCCTAAGATAATGTTTTATATCAGTAGGAAGAAATCTCCGATATACATTTCTTTCGTGCGCCAATAAATTCACGAATAAGTTTCGCCGCATCTCCATACCATCCTATACACATGCTCGAGTATATATGTCAATATTAGTGTCTGTCGTATGGGTAATACTGCGTCTCTTGAAACATCTTTCACAAAAACTTAAAACAAAGTGCTATACTCACCGTATAAATATGTGTGGCTTTTAGTCTACTCCACGTAGACATATACTGTAGAATAAGATATCCACTTAAGTGTCTGTGGCAAGATTCACGATCAGCTATATATAAAAATAGTTAAATCCTAGGTATTATTATTGCAAACCATAATGACTCTGAGTTCGTTATCCATCTATGTCAGCTGCAATGTTGCCTTCCCGTCTGAATTTTCATTCGAAGACATCCTCATTCCATCTAGGAATATATGCGTCCGTGTACTGCAAAGTAAATCTAAGAGTGTACTTGGCATACATCTGTGCTGGTGTGTCTTTCGGGCGGCGGCGCAAATTGAGGTCGCCCGTGCAGTCGTGCTCATGCTCCGTTCGTGCCTGCCTCCGGATCTCATGCTGTGGCGGGAGCCAGGAGGTGACCAACGATGGGATAGAGCAGACACACGTGCTTCCTACAGTCGCACGGGCGAGGTTTTGCCGCTGTTCTACGAAGACGCTGGCCAAAGCGTCATCGGTTAAGACGCCTGCCTCTCTTCCCTTCCCTTCCCCGACGCACGAACGATGAACGGCAAGCGAGGAACGACGAGGTCGACGGCACGGGGAGAGGAGGCGACGGCGTGGGCGAGAGAGGGATCGCGAGCCTCCAATTTGGAGTCCGCTGTATCTTGAGCGTGATTAGAGGCGAATCTCTGACTATCGTGGGGCGAGCAGGGTATTTGCGGAGTAACATGCAAGGAAAATCAACAACTACCATGATTATCGCACGGGGGAGCCACCGCACGCGGGTCCGCATGCCAACTGTCGTGATTGTCGCATGGGGGAGCCAGCGCATGCGGGGTCGCGGGGATCACAGGTGGCAGACGGACGAACCAAGGCAATTGTCGAAAAAAACGGTGTTTATCTTTTAGTCGTGAGAGATCTATACGGAAGCGAGACTCTACACGGCGGGACGACGTGCGTCGCCCAGCTTCGCTCTGCCCGGCGCTCGCACGCTCGCTCCCCCACGCGGTGCCACCCGCGTCTCATGCACTCGCCCCCGTCATCCGTCAATTCCCCATCCGGCGTTATTATTCCCTCTAATTGCCACTCCACGTGGGACCCATACGATCACATCTTATCATATGCCACCTGTGCAATAGATGGAATACGAGAGCCCGATCCAATCTTCGTCCGGCGTCGTGCGCCCCTCGCCCTCCGTGATCATCCGACGATCATGAGCGATTGAAAAAAGGAAATCCCTCAATCTCGCTATGTAATTGATCTTTTCCAATGTCAAAAAAGATCCCTTCCCTTCCCAACGCAATAGGCACCACAAAGAAAACCCCGGCAATCAACGCAATGAAGCATATCAACTTTGCATGCGCGACAATCCCGACGAATGAAGGATGCAGTTGTTTTCTCCCTCTTCCTCTGGTTCTGCATACGCAGCATGCAAGGAAATCCACGGGACCACGGACAACAAGGGAAGTCAAATCATCAATTGCCAATTAAACGTAGTCACGGAGACGACTTCCTCCGCGCGACTTGGCCCGGCAAAACTGCACGCGCTCCGTTCACGCGGGTCCGCATGCCTAACTGTCGTGATTGTCGCACGGGGAGCCAGCGCATGCGGGGTCGCCGTGATTGCAGGTGGTAGACGAACGCACCAATGTAATTGTCGTACCAAAATGATGTTCACCTTTTTAGTTGTGAGGGATAGTAAACACGATCTGTCCATTTTGACCATTCTCGCACCAAATCCAGGTCAAACCCAGGCGATTAGTTTCCAGTCCCATTCAAAGCTCCCCGTCTTCCTCCTTGCTCCTACTCCGGGCTGCCACGCTGCACCCCGACCGGCCACCACGGCGCGTGCCGGAAGCCGCGCCGCGGCGGCGGCGGCCATGGGCGCCGCGGCCTTCGAGTTCGAGTACAAGAGGTTCGTTAAGTACCATACCGTACTCATGTGTCTTCTCAATTGAAATCCATGCAGGAGGGAGGGCAGAAGCGCGCCCGGGCGTGCGCGACATCGTCGTGCCGCGCGCCACGTGCTCCGCGCTCTAGCGTCGACGCAAAATGACTTTTTTCTTTCTTTCTTCTTTTCGGTCTCCTCGCCGTCCCCAATCTGCGCTGCCGCTTCTTCTTCTTCTTCTCCAATTCAATTCAATTCCTCTTCATCGCCTCGCGCCTGGGCGGGCATCTCTCGGGCGCCGCGGCAGGAGCAGGGGTGCGGTGCAGTTAACGCCAGCGCGCGTGGCTCCACCCGGTCTTGCCGCGATCCGTTGCAATCCTGATTCCTTCCTCTCCAGAATTCCTCCTCCCATGTGCGTAGATCTCGGGGCCCGCGCTGGCTAGGGTTTATGGCTTTGGTCAATCCATGGCGTGCGGTGCCGAGGTCGCCCTGTCGCTTCTTCTTTAATGCGCGCTGATCCCCATGGACGCCGAGTCCCCACGGTAAATCCCACAAAAAGGCGGGTCTCCTTTGCCCATTTCGCCTGCCTCCTCTTCTCTCCTATCGTCTCTTGTTCGGCTCCTTGTTTTCGTATTGCCTGGGGGGGCTAATGCCGTTGTTGGGGTTGCCTCCGGGAGCTGTGGTTGATGGTCCTGAGGTTTGGCGCAGGGACGCTTATGGATTCGCGGTGCGGCCACAGCATGTGCAGCGTTTCCGCGAGTACGCCAAGATTTACAAGGTAGTAATTTACTTTGCCGTACTGGAAATGTTATGTTCATTGTCTGTTTATTGGAAAGTTTTGATTTGCTTTTGGAGGGTTGTTTGTTAGGAAGAGGAGGAGGAGAGGGCGCACAGATGGAGGGACTTCTTGGACAGGTTGGCTGAGTCAGCCAATGTGCCCGCCACACCCAGCGTTTCACCATATGCAGCTGCCAGGGATGGTGCTGCAGGAGCAGGACAGGCGCAAGAGAATAACAACATCGGAATACATTGTGTTGATGATGAACAAGAGGAGGGAGCTGAGAATGCAAAAGATAACAATAAATTGGAAAACCCGAAGGAAGCTGATACCAGTGGTGAATCACGAGAAGCAAATGGTAAGTCAGAAGATCTGAAAGATGTAACTGACAACTTGGATGAAGTGAAAGAGGAGACTAGTTGTAGCTCTACGGAAGCAATCAAAGCCTTAGAGGGCTTGATGGAAGCAAATGGGGACATTGAAGAATTAAAAGATTTGAATGGAAGCTCAGAAGAATTGAAAGGAGAGAGTAATGGCAACTTGGACAAGCTGGTAGAGCTCTTCTTGGATAAGGGGTTGTTGGATGAACTGAAGCCCATAAAAGTTGAGTCCCGGCGGCGGGTACGGGCAGCGCTTAGCATCATTGACAAAATGATGAGCTCTCGGGTAGTGAAGGGTGGTAATGGTGCAAATGATACTCATGGAAAGGATGGAGCACAGCTTGCTTCTATTGAAGAGGAAGGAAGGACTGCAGAAGTGAGTCATGACGGAGATCCAGCTGAGGTTGATGAGTCTTGTGTTGCAGAGAAGGTTGAACTTGGACAGGAAACACCTGATGATTCTCTGGTACTGCTTTGGAGGGAGGCAATGATGGGTCTTATTTTCCTTGGAGGGAGGAGCTTGAGAGCTTGGTTCGTGGAGGCGTGCCAATGGCTCTTAGAGGAGAGGTGCAACTGCAACCAGTTCTGCAAATCGCTGCTGTCTGCTTAGTGTGTGAGATTTGATGCCTTTATGCTCACATATTGTTGACTTCCCTGCAGATATGGCAAGCATTTGTGGGTGTCGGTGCTCGGAGGATTACTGGGTACTACAACAAATTGCTTGATGACAGGACTCTGCGACATTCGATGAAAAGGACCTCATTGACCCAGTGGTCAACGAACAGAGAAGTGCACCGAGAAAAGTTACACAGCCTGAGAAGTGGAAAGGACAGATAGAGAAGGTTGTTTTCTGCAACAGTTTGAATTTAGAGGAAGCATACCATGGTTGACAAGCTCTAGTGTTTCTATACACTTGATTTCTGTTTTGTTACAGGATTTACCACGAACATTTCAGGACACCCTGCATTAGATGAGGATGGGAGGAATGCTTTGAGGCGGTTATTAACCGCATATGCAAGGCATAATCCATCAGTTGGGTACTGCTGTAAATTGATGCCAATTGAAGGAATTTTTTTTTTCATCTAGCCTCTTGTTAGCTTAATTGTATAGAACGAGATAGATTGTAATCCTAATTGGTGCATGCAAACTATGAAAGGTCATGGTTCTCATGTTCAGTTGAGCATTTGAGCAAAATTGTAATGTATGGCCTTAAATGTTGAGAGATCCATTATAAGCTATGAGCCTATGATAAGCGATACATTTTCAATCATTAGTTCTGGACTTCTGTTGAGCAAAATATTTCTTACACCATATACCTATGGTAACTTCAGAAGGGATTTGACATAATGTAAAATCAGTGAAGTCTATCTCCACATAAAGAATTTCATTGTAGCCATCTTTATCAGGTCAGAAAAACCACCACATATACTATGAAGTTTATAGCTATATTTATCTTGCCTTCAACATGCCTCACACTTGAAGAGTTTAAACCGATTTCTGAAATAACCACTATCACCAAAGTTTATAGGTATATTTATCTTCACTTGTTTTCTCTTGCAGGCCATGAACTTCTTTGCTGGGCTATTTTTGCTTTTCATGCCTGAAGAAAATGCATTTTGGTATGTCTTCATTAAATGCACCTTGTATATGGAAAGAAAAAAAAAGACTCAATGGCCTTTTTTTAGTGCAAGACTGTATGGCTTCTCCATTTTCACTTGCTTTTGAATTTCAGGGCTTTAGTAGGGGTTATTGATGATTATTTTTATGGATACTACACTGAAGAAATGATTGAATCTCAGGTACTTTTGAATTTGTGGATCTTGATGCATGCACTCTTTTCCATGGAACATTTGAACTATGTTGCTGCTCAATACACAGGTTGACCAACTCGTCCTTGAGGAGGTTGTACGAGAAAGGTTCCCTAAATTGGGTATGTTTTCCAATTATATCACTATATTCGTCTTTGTGATGTTTAATTCTTTGTTAAAAAATCACACATATGTTTGTGTCACTATTGCTTAATATTTTGAAGGCACTGTATGTCAAAGTATCTACACTTAATGTTTCTTCCATTGAAGGTTCTTGTTATGGTTATTACTTGGCACTTACATCAATTGCAATTTTCTTCAGCCAAACATATGGATTTCTTGGGAGTTCAAGTGGGATGGGTGACTGGACCATGGTTTCTTTCAATTTTCATCAATATGCTTCCATGGGAAAGTGGTCAGGTTTTATACAGTGTCTTGGTTCTTTCATTATGATATGTGCTATTACAATATTTTTGCTGGTAGTTCACTGCTGTAAGATTGATTAACCCCCTTCTGGTGGTTGACTAACATTTAAATCTCACTATCAGCATATGGAAAATCTTCTTATGTCTTTGTAGGTTACATATTCTTTTACCATATGTGTGCTATTGATATCTAAGTAAGACTTTACCTCTCTTGTAGTACTTCGCGTTTGGGATGTCATCCTTTTTGAAGGAAATCGTACAATGTTGTTCAGGACGACGCTTGCTTTGCTGGATTTATATGGTATTAGTTATCCCTTCTTAGCCTGTTTATTAACATCCGGAAAATGTTAAAATTTCTTTTATTTGTTTTTTTTACCAATTTTGATGTGCAACCAACATTGTTGTGTTGTCTTCATACATTAATTTGCAGGGCCTGCACTGGTGACCACAAAAGATGCCGGAGATGCAATTACACTACTGCAGTCTCTTGCTGGATCTACTTTTGACAGCAGCCAGCTTGTATTGACAGCTTGTATGGGCTTCCAATCAGTTAGAGAAATGGGATTGAAAGAGTTAAGGAAAAAGCACAGGCCTGAAATTTTAACTGCAATGGAGGAAAGATCAAAAAACCGTGGCTCCTGGAAAGATAAGAAGGGGTTAGCAACCAAACTTTATAGCTTTAAACATGATCCCTCATTCGTGTGCTCACCAGTTAAGTCCAAGGAAGGGCTAGATGGTTCAAAGGTGAATGGAGAGATTGGGCCAGCAAATCTTGAGACCTATCTTAGTACTAGTTCTATACTGGATAATGATTTGGATCAGGGTGTTGATCTTCAAGATCAGGTAACAACTCCTGTGATAGTATTTATCTTTTGGATATGCTATTTCATTTCTGTGAACAATATGAAAAGTATCATATTTTTTCTTTGTGTTCAACTGTATTATTTAAACTCCTGGTTAAAAATCTGCTGATTCCTAATGGTTCCATGTCAATATCACAATCTTTTATTTTGTAAAACTGAATGGTTCTGTTCATAATGTTCATATTTCTAGCTTAGAATTATATCTTGACATATCTTTACAAAATTACAACCCAAGTATTTGAAGACTACTTTCTTATGCATATGTGATGAATTTTACATGTGCAATGCTGCAATATTCATACAGGTGTCATGGCTAAAGATTGAACTATGCAAGCTGCTTGAGGAGAAAAGATCAGCTGATCTCAGGTTTGGGTTATATTTTTTTCTTGAATACACAGGAGTTTCATTAAAGAAGAAAAGGAACCAATTACAAACCCCACACCACATCACCCCACTGGACATAATTAGCGTGCCAGTAAAACAAAGGACAACGACCCAACCTAGAGAAAACACCACAAAAACTATACAAAAAGTCGAGACTGGCTCAAAGAGATGCTTTGCACCAGCCGCACACCACATTGTTGTGTTTTCCCTGATGTCTCTCCCCGACAACCCGCACAACTAGGTTTGCATTAGGGGACACCGAGTTCAAGATGCAATCTTGCAATGTTTCCAAATTTCCCAAGTGGCAAGAATGATCTAAGTGTTCAAATCTTTCCTGAACTGTTTGTCAACCTGTTTGAGGGATCCACTCCATCATCCTGAGAATCTGCCAACGTCAGGAATTGGAGCCAAGAAAGGAAACCCCACACGCTGGAGGGTGACACCACCAGAGGAAATGGGAAGGTGCTGCATATTTTTTTCCTCCTAATCACAAAGAGGGAGTGAGGTGTGGTGCGGAGACCTCACTTAGGAAGTCTATCAGCCGTACAACAATGGTTCAGAAGAGCCAGACACAAGAAAAATTTGCAGCGCAATGGAACCCAAGATTTCCAAATCCTTTCCCAAAGGGCAAAATGAATAGTGCCCACAAAAAAATGGTTTGTTGGCGGATTTCCATGTGTATGTACCTGAGCTGGTCAACTTCCATGTATGCTGGTCCTGCACATCAGGGTGCAGAACTATTTCTTCCACTCATGGAAGTTGACCAACTTCCATGACCCTGACCGTTAGAGCACCTTTGATGTCTGTCACCCAAGGCCTATTTTCTAGTCCCTGAGCAACAGTTCTTTGATTGATCACTCGCTTGGGAACTAGGGCAGTTAAGTGGGAAGCCAACTCAGCAATGTACGGCCATGTAACCTATGATCATACTAGAATAGTGTCTGTCCCATTAGTCCATTACTGACCAAGGTTAGTGGCCATAGAGAACAGAGCACAGGCATTGGAATGAACATGCACCTGGAGTCAATACCAGGGCCTACTTGGGTCTAGCAACTTATGCTCAATATAAGTATTCAGCATTTCAGCTCTAGATACAGTAACATAAACAATTGTACTTGGTTGAGCAGATTTAACATATCAACAATTACACTTGTCGGACCAAAACACCCCTACCCTAGGGCTAGATTCCAAGCATATTCCCTGCATACTAGGGGCTTTTTGGTCCTTTCAGTACATGCTTACACGGAATCCGATTCGGATTTGACTTTAGACAAGTGGCACCTTCCTCCATTTCGTGTGTTTCTCCGGAATGTTGCACCTTCACGAGAGTGCAGTGGGGTTCGGGCATCCGCTCCTCTTTCCCATTGTGTTGCCATTTTGAACTGCCCAAGGGTTTTGTGTTCTCCTTCTGGGACCTGCTGTGGCGCACCCAGGATGCCTTTTTCAGGGCTCCTCTGAAGATGACTTTGCGCTTCCGCCAAGGCATCATTTTCGGAAACCTCCTCGGGTGAAATTTGGGAGCAACCTTGGGGTTTCTGCGAGAACAAATACCTTCGGTCCTGGGGGCTATCATTCTTGGCCCCCCCCAGTAGTTTTGTAGCCTAGAGATAGTGTAGCTTTGATTGCCTCTATGTTTCCACAGGCGCGTATGTAATTTTGACAAGTCGGAGTGGTGTGGTGTGTGTTGTAAGGGTCTCTTTCCCCCTTTTTTCTTCTTAACATAATGGAGCGCAGTTCTCCTGTCGAGAAAAAAAGGTTAAAAACATGCGAACAGAGGGGGACCCCACAGGGGATACGGTCCCCCAACACTTCACATATGGAGGCACCACCTCTTTTTATAACCTAAAGGGCTGCTGCTGTCACAGAGTCACAGTGCATGCTACTACAGTGCAACTGGCAACAGCTAAGTCTATTACTACTATTGAAATGGAGGCTGTTCCATGAATCTGGACAGTGATTGTCCTCATCATCTAGTTAAAACTATTCGCAAGTTGAATTGCGACTTAATTTGTGCTAATATTTCTTTATATTTTCAAGGGGTGAGGAATTGGAAACTGCTTTGATGGAGATGGTCGAGCATGACAACAGACGTGTGTTGAGTGCTAAGGTATGATGCTAACTGGAATCACTTTTTCTGGTACCTCTCAGCATATGGTTTCAAGAAAGTTGAATCTCCCAATAGGCCAGTACTATTATATACGCTTCTGAGTTCTTTCTTAACTAACTAGTACTTCAAGAATATCTATATACTACTTTAGTCAATGAATTACCCCTTTGCCTATTTATTTTCTTCATGCACCATTGACCTGGAAAACATTCACAGGTTGAGAAGCTGGAAGCAGAGGTATATGAACTGCGAAAAGCTTTTTCAGACAAGCAAGAGCAAGAGCAAGTAATGCTTCAGGTGTTGTCTTACTGCATATATTCTGTGGCTATAATCTTTGGGTCTTAAGGATCATATTACCTGGTCCTCCAAAGTCCATTATACATCTGATTGTCTAAAAATATCCACACATTAACTACCTCTATAGATCTTGTTAAGAATGGAGCAAGAACAGAAAGTGGCAGAAGATGCCCGCATAGCCGCTGAGCGAGATGCTGCTGAACAAAAACATGCTGCTCACTTGCTCCAGGTTAACTCTTGGAAAAACTTCTGCAAGCAGTTTTTTGAAAGTGCCACTTTCTTGTTGACATGCACAGTTCTTATGTCTAAGAAGGCTGATGCCTATTTTTTCGTACCTTCTATACGCAGGAGAAGTATGAAGCAGCAATGGCATCACTTTCACAAATGGAGAAAAAGAGCTGTAATGGCAGAAACAATGCTGGAAGCTACAAAGCAATACCAGGCTGGGCAGGTTAAAGCCAACCAATCTTTCACTTCAAGGTATGTTTGTTTTGGCTACATTTAACTTCCACTTTCCAAGCATCTAGATCACTTACGAGCTATTATTGGAAGTCTATAACTTCACACTCGGCATGACTACTTTTCATGTGTCCCGCTAACTATTGCTTGAGTTGGTTTCTTTTCCTCTCCAATTATTTTATTTTTCATGTGTCCCGCTATCATTTGATTGATATTTTACTGTTAATTTAAGAAGCTTAAACTCTAACTTCATACTACAATACTTCATTTACTTGAAATCTTCTGTAGTTCACCTCGCGGACCATGTTCTTGGGAAGATACATCAAGAACCAAACCAAGATGCACCTAACCGGAGAATTGGCCTGCTTTCTAGGGGACTTGGATGGCTTGACAAGAGCAAGGTATGCCAATAAAATCAAAATTTTACCAAAATAACTCTCTGAGTTCATGACTTTTGGTACCAGGCCCTACATGTCATTATCAGAGCCCTTGTTCCTTATTAGCTTTTTTTACTTCTATGTTGTTTTGTTATTCCTAAAATATTTTATGTGCTTGGACATAATGAGTGATGTGTCCCTGCTCAACCAAGAGTCTCTTTTTATAGAATATTTGAAAAAGGTAACTCGAAGGAACGCTGATCTTATACCACGTTTGCATGGACAGCATATAAAAAATGAATGGTCTCATTGATCTAGAAAGATTTTACAAAGTTGAGGTGCAGTGGGTTCACTATCTTTGAATTGCTTTTAGCAGGGAAGGCAGAATTCCACTGAAACATCTGGAGGCTAAACTCATCTAGAGTCCAGGATGAAGTCATAGCTCCCAACAAGATCTGGATTGTTCATTAATGCTTGGATTGCCTGATCACCATAAGAACGTGTTGAAATCAGCAGTGATGTTTTCTCGTGAAGATTCAGCTGGTATTTTCCATGAAGTTTTGCAGGAAGTGTATCTTGTATCATATTGAGTTCAGTTGTCAGATAAAGTTTTGTTGGTAGGTCAGAAAGGCTGCTGCAAGTCATCGGTGTAAATTTTCTTTTATTAATTTCATTAAGATTGTCAATAGTTAGGTGTTCCAGGTAGGAGAAAGAGAAGAACACAACTTCCTATACACATGAAAAGAAGAAAAACTTGTGTTAGATTAGTTACAGTATCATGGAGTTGTTCTGGAGAAGAGCATGCTTTATCTCTCTTCAGAAATGTCAAAACCACTGAAGAGATGATCTCTCTGTATTTTTGTTCTTTTGATACGTGTGGCTCTGACATTCTTGACACTTGACAGTTGACATGTTTGATGTACGAAAATTATTGTCAAAAGGATCTGATTGCGAATCCAACAGCGGAAACTCCACTGTAGCGAGGCATTTTGGAAAGCTAATTATCTTCAGTTCCTCACAAGTAAACCTGGAAGTGGATTGGGATAATCCAAAGTATAAATGGTCTTAACATACTATGGATTTTACTGGATGAATGTTATTTGGATGTGGATATACAAGACCACAATACCCAAATTCAACGGATTGGATTGGATAAAAAGACCCCCGGATATCCCAAAATCCGTTGGACCTCTTCCTGACGGTGGCGTCTTCACCAGGCAGCCGGTGAGTGTTCAGGTAGATTTCAACACGCACGCTTGGGGCGAGGGCCCGCCTAGCCGCTCGTCAACGACGGCCTCGCCTAGCTGCTTGAACGACGCCACCGGCCTTCTATCACCGCCGATTCGGAGATCAGCTTGCTGTACCAGAAGGCAAATGCCGTGGCCAACCTCCCCAACTACCCGGCGGCGCATTCACGGACACGGATACACTGGCATAACAGCCAGGCGCGCGCGGACCGCCGGCCTCGCTCCCCGCGCCCTGCAGCCGCGTGTGGGTAGGCGGCGCGCCGCAATGGGGTGGCTCGTTCTCCGGCGCGGGTCTGGCGGGGCAAGGCAGCTTGCGTGCGCGCGGGGCGACGAGCTCGCGGTGCGCCGCGGGGTCGTGGGAGACCTGATCGGAGTGCGGCGGCAGAGGAGGCGGACACTCGGCGCCGCTGAAGATGGATGGGCGGCGGGCCTCCCATCGGTGGTAGCACGTCCATCAGCGGCGCACGGTGAGTCGCAGCTCCTCGGCCGGACCGAGCAGCGTGAGCTTGCCCGCTGATGCAGAAGTCTGTATTTGGACGAATGGACTGGACTGGATTTACAGGGTAGTGGACTGGACTGGATTGGATATTGCATGCATGACTGTGGTTTGGATTGGATACGTTCTCATTTTAATTGGGTTTCCTTTGGACTGGATTGATTGGACGTGGATGTTAATCCACTTCCAGGTATACTCACAAGGTTATTGAAAAATGATTTTGGTAAAAGCATGCCGTGTTCCCTCTCAACCTGTGCAGCGTCATGCGGCATGCCCGTAAACACCGTGTTTCTGTCAACACAACACGACGAATGTCTTGCCACTTTGGTGAAGTAGATGAACTGCCCAACATAGACTGAAGTGAAAGATCAGTTGGAGTGTTGGACAATCATACTGGACATGGCAGAGGCAGTGTCACTGGGAACTTGGTACAGTGCCACGTTCCTCCACCTGTTTCAGGAATGCGGGAACAATCCAGTCTGTGCAGTGAAAAAAACTGTCTCAAAGAGCGTTCCTCGATCCCTGTTCCACGACCCAATCATCCTACAACTTTGTGACCAAGTTAATTAAACACTCGACACCTGAGATCAGAGATAACTTCCTTGGACACAATGTAAATCAAACCCTTTAGGAGCAGCATCAACAGCAAAAGTAAGGGAAACAAGCCATCGTCATCAATACAACATGCAAACAAAGCGTCTGATAAGACTAAGCCACAACAAACACAACAACAGTTTACAACGGTTGTCTACAAACTAAGGGGGAAAAAATCTTCATCATGACCATGTACTTCCCCGCAATTCAACCGTATCATTTGAACAGGCATTGCAACTTTCTTGCTCCAAGACAGGCAGTAACTGACCATCACCACAAAATGCAGCAACAGAAGAACACCATTGTTTTGCTAAGCACTGGATTCCTCAGTTTCTTTCTCCCTGATCGTCGCTCTGGTGGTTCCGATCAGAGCTAGTTCTTGTTGGTGTGCTGCGTCCAGGGTTCCGATCAGAGCTAGTTCTTGTTGGTGTGCTGCGTCCGCCACGGTCCAACCGCCTTCTGTTTCTGACTTCTGACATCACAGTGAGAGAGGCGACAACATCTCGCATGCTTGGTCTCATATTGGGTGATTCACTGATACAGCGTGAAACAACAAAAAAGGCATGCTCCAAACAAGGCTGGGAGCACTGACCCCGCAGTGCCGGATCTACCAGAATGTCCAGTTCCCGTCTGCGGAGAAAGTTGAGAGCCTGAAACCATACAGTAAAAGAAAGGTCATGGCATGTAATTGCAAAAGAATAATGCATACATCTGTTGAATGACATGTAAAACCTGAACCTTTGTTTTAAGTAGCAGTTTTGCTATATCGTACCCGGACGAAAAACTTCCTCTTATACCAGATTTTTTGGCATGTTATAAAAATATTCGGATGTTTTAGAATAGTTCAGCACCTAGAATCCTAGATTAAAGGTGTGGTAAGAATTTAATCATTCCTTACCGATGTCTGAATTTGTAGTCATACCAATTCTATCTAGAAATCACACCAAAATAATCACCGTCTTGTGCAAGTCAAGTGTAAATCCAACATAAACTGACATAAACTAAAATTGGAGTGAGGGGGACAAGATTTTCACCCGAATCTTCGTTTTATTCCCTTCCAGCTTCCATGCACGATATTTAGGAAGAAGAAAGGGAAAGAAAAGAAAAGCAAAATAAAAGGTGCGAAAAGAAAACTTTGACCCAAGTTTATTCAGGTATGGAAGAGAAGACCTCTCCTGATCCTCGTCCTGGTTTTTATTTTTTTATTTTAATCTAGAAGAAATACACATCCAAATTCTCCTACGAGGACTAAAACTTGGTTAAGGCATACAACTATGCCCACGACCAACTCAGCTAGACTTAAGTTTCTTGTCTCTACAACGATGACATGAAGGTGATAGAAGAAGCACATAACAGGTTTGATATATTTTTTTAATGAAAAGAACAAGTTTGATATGATCAAATGGTTAAGAAACAAAATGAATAAAGACCATTTTTGGGCATCGAAGGAGGAAGAGCATGAGCTCACAGCTTATGAGCCTTTGAAATGAAGAGACTGAGATATTAAATAGGACGACATACTTTCCTCATGAGCATATTGGCAATTATACTAGCATTGAGGAGAAGCAAGTAAAGAATTTTATTTAAAAAAAACAAAAACAGAAAGCTTACCCATGCGACAAGGTTTCGCCTCGATTGTGAGTCTTTCGTCTCTAGCCATTCTTAGGTTAGAACCTCCAACATAACTACACCAAAGCTGTAAAAATCATCTTTATGTCAATTTACGGTCATTAAGTACTCAAGACAATAACTGGTGTACCCATAACTCTTGTTGAAACATGGGTATTGTCACCGTTGGACCTAGCTTCGCCAAGTCAAGTCGACGAAATGGTGGTACCCTCATCCGAGCAAAATGTTTGCACATTTCACATCACGATTGATGACAGGAGGGTGAGATTGTGATGCAAATGCTCAAGACCTTTAGCAGCACCAAGGAGTATCTTAATTCTTGTACTCCAGTCAAGAGGCTGCTGACGGGGGAGATCTGGACAAAGCAAGGACCAACTCGATTACACTAAATTCTTCTAATATATAGCCGAAGAGAGCGATATATATATATATGTTAGGTTCAAGACATACCATGGATGTGACTATTCGAGAGAACCCAAAGGCATATACTCATAAACTAAAATCCCTCGACCATGACTAGTGCAATATCCAACGAGCTTTACAAGATTTGGGTGGTGCACATTGCTCAAGATCAGAACTTCAAAGTGATTTAATTCCCTATGCCCTTGTTGTGTCCCGAAGATCAAGCCTCTTTATAGCCACCTCTGTCCAGGCACCTTTCTAGAATTAGAATATCATACAAGAAATGAAAGCCAACAAATATATCTTACCCATCCTTTTTTCATGATAAATTAACGATACCATTCATCAGCATTCGGATACATAAAGAAAAAAAGTACACAAATCCTTTCTTGTAGGTGCTACTCTGATCATACTTAAGATCACTTCAGTTCATTCGACTAACGCACTAGTAATAACTATCATCGATTGACCAAATACATTGATCAACATTCAGCTGTAAAAAAAAAAACAACAATCTTTTTCTTGCACACACCAGTCACCATTTCAGTCTTCAGTTATACTCATCAAGATCAATCTAGTCTTTTTGAGCAACGAAATAGCAACAAAGAATTATATGATTTTAGCACACAAACATATCTGCAACCATCATTGAGCAGAGGCATGTGAACCAACCTGATTAGTGCTATCAAGAAAGCCCTTGTACACTTGGCCGAACCCACCCTCCCCAGAAACGGTCTACTTCAAGCCATGTGTTTGCATGAACCTCATCATAGGTGAAACTCTTGAGACAAATGTGCCTCTCTCGGACGTTGATCCGTGATGAAGTCATTATGAGGGGTCTCCACCATGACCCACCGATTACGCCATCTCTGTACAAACAAAACAAAAATTGACGAAGCATCAGACACACAAATAATGCAAATGTTGCCAATTATAAGGGGAGACCAAACTAATATTAATCAATTATATTAGTGTTCAGAAAAAAGCCCTCACATTCTTCAAAAGGTTCTAGAAATTACAAAATTAATCAGGGAAAAATGAATA